GACCGCCCATCACCATGGGGACTGTCCATCTCTGGGGGGGCTGACGATCTCCAGGGGGACTGCTCATCATCATGGGGCTGACCATCTCCAGGGGGCTGTCCATCTCCAGGGGGGCTATCCATCTCCAGGGGGGCTGTCCATCTCTGGGGGGGGGCTGACCATCTCCAGGGGGGCTGTCCATCACCATGGGGACTGTCCATGTCCAGGGGGGCTGTCCATCTCTGGGGTGGCTGACCATCTCCAGGGGGGCTGTCCATCTCTGGGGGGGCTGACAATCTCCAGGGGGACTGCTCATCATCATGGGCTGACCATCTCCAGGGGGGCTGTCCATCTGCAGGGGGATTGTCCATCTCTGGGGGGGCTGATGATCTCCAGGGGGATTGCTCATCATCATGGGGCTGACCATCTCCAAGGGGGCTGTCCATCTCTGGGGGGGCTGACCATCTCCAGGGGGACCGCCCATCTCCAGGGGGACTGCCCATCTCTAGAGGGCTGTCCATCTTCAGGGGGGCTGTCCATCTTCAGGGGGACCGCCCTGCTCCAGGGGGACTGTCCCATTTCCAGGGGGGCTGTCCATCTCTGGGGGGGGCTGACCATCTCCAGGGGGACTGTCCATTTCCAGGGGGGCTGTCCATCTCTGGGGGGGCTGTCTATCTCCAGGGGGACTGCTCATCATCATGGGGACTGTCCATCTCCAGGGGGGCTCTCCATCCTCAGGGGACTGTGTGTCTATAGGGGGCCTATCTCACAGCCTGAGTAACTGACCATCTGGCTGCCTGGTTGGACAGGGAAACAGTGGGGCAAAGCCACCTCCCAAGGACCACCTGACACATTGGGGGGTAGATTTGCACCTCCAGGCTTGGAGCCTTCTCCTGGGCTCCTGGTACCCATAGCAGCCTGGGAAGCTCTTCCCAGAGGAACATGTCCTGTGGGAAGGGAGGGCTTTGCAGCCTCTGGGCAGCAGGTGTGGACCCACCTCTCCAGGAGGAGGACAAGCTGGCAGCCGTGCCGTGGGCATCTCTTGCACTCCAGTCTCTCATGTCTTCTCACAACCAGGCAGCTAGGAGTGGAAGCCCCTGCCCCACTTCTTCCCAGATGAGAAAGGTTGGACTCAGGGGCTAAACAGCTCCCCAGGGTAATACTACTGGACAGGTGGATTCAAACATAGGTGTTCCCATTTTAAGGGTGCTCCCCTTCCCGGGAGCATAGCAAAAAGGATCTTTGTCCAGTTCTTGGTCACTTCTGGCCGTGGAAGGAGCCTGGTCTTTAAAATCCATGGATAACCCAAGCTTGCCTGTCAGCCATGGAGCGGGTCAGAGATTGTGTCCAGGTTCAGTAACTTTGAACTTTAGAAGTAGCCTGGGTAGGGGCAAAGGGAAAGCCACAGTGGGCAAGGTCAGAGGTCAGAGCAGCAGGCCAGGAAGGTGGCCGGTTCCATTTGGTTCCATTTGGCAGTGTTTGCCAAGTGCCCCTGTGTCCTGGGCTAGCCAGTGAGCCCCTCACCAGAAACACGGAGTCTGTTGAGGGAGAGAGCCTGGGATGGCATTGCTCTGATAGCAGGCATGCCAAGTGGACACCACCAGATCAGAGAGGCAGACTGTGATGGAGGGGCTAAGGAGGGGGCAGTTGATTCCTTGGGAGGACCTAGAGAGGCTTCATGAAGGAGATGGCCCTGGAGTTAAGCCAAAAAGATAGAATGAAATACCATCAACCTAAGCAAGTGGCCAGAGGCATTGTGGGTGGAAGGAACAGCTCTGGTAAAGGTATTTGCAGAGTTGATCCCAGGATGAGAGAAGTGATGGATGACGTAAATCTTCCCTGTGGTGGGTGTCAGCCCCTTGCTGGTGGGGTGGGGTGGGGTGGAGGGCTGGCTGAGGGGGTCCATCCCCAGGGTGCCAGGGAGGGTCCAGGTCCCTAAAAAATGCAAACTGAGTACCTTCCTCCAGAGCACCTGCCTGCTCCTCCACAGACCTCAGGCCCCATATACATACCTGGAGATGTATACCGTCTGTCCCTCTCCCCCTCCCACAGAGCCCCCCCCCTCCCGGTCTACTGGGGACTCCCGGGGACGTGGTGGGGATTGGAGCTGTATTCTAGCACATGGAGCACCCCTAGTCCCCTGCACCTGCTGGGGCTCCCCTTCTTTCCTGAGCAGGACATATGTCCTCTCTTAAAACTCTGTTAACCGCCTTTTTCCATTATCCTGCTAATGTCGAAGCAGCAGCAATGAGGATAAGTCCAAGAGCATTATATGAATGGGGTTTGGGGTGGCTGTAACTTCCCTCGCTCAAGTTGGCGTTAATGTGCATTTGCATTTTCGGAACAGAATTTAATTGACTGAGGGTTGCGATAGCCCCGGGTGCCCTGGTTGGGGGAAGCAGTGGGGCCTGGGTTTTAATGTGAGGCGTTGCGCCGCCTTGTGGCCAATCCAGGAAACGGCACCTCTCACAGTTCACAGTGCCTGAGCACGTGGGCCCAGCCTCTGCCCCTCGGCTGGACGGTCTCAGATTGGATTTGGGCTGGACCAGAGAGAAATGACTTTGAGCCCCACACCTTCTGACGCACCCCCGACCCCCTGCTTTCCAGCCTCGCCCCCACTCTGTGTGCCTGGTCCCTGACCCTCTCCCAGCCTCACCCCTGCTCCATCCCCAGGTTGGTCCGGGAGGTGACAGGGGTGAACGTGAACATGCGCGTGGGAATTCACAGCGGGCGAGTACACTGCGGTGTCCTTGGTCTCAGGAAGTGGCAGTTCGACGTCTGGTCTAACGACGTCACGCTGGCCAACCACATGGAGGCTGGAGGCAAGGCAGGGTGAGTGAGGACTGCGGGCAGTGGGGCGGTGCAGGGCCCAGACTTAGCTTCTCACCGTCCCCCACCCAGGGTGACTGTCATGAGGAGTGGGGTGGGGGTAGGCAGGACGGGGTAGCTTGCAAACCTGGGGTTGGCAGAGTTAGGTGGAAATTCCTCTGCCTGGCAAATTACTTACACCTCACCATGGTGGCAGGTTGTAGGGGGCGTTGTCTTAACCTTTGCAGAGTCTTCACTCAGAAGATATTGACACAAAACATGGTGGCTTGTGACTTGGCATAGGTAGGGTAGAGTCTAGAGGAGGGAGGAACCACGGATAATTTCTGGGGTAGCCAGGACAGAAAGAAGGTGAAATGTGAGCTGACCTGGACGACTGGGCAGGTGAGGAAGGCAGGGTGGTGAGAGTGCACCAGGCTGAGGGAATGGAGTGAGGGCAGGCTGTAGGAAAACACAGTATTTCCAAGGAATGGAAGTAGAGCAGACAGCCTTGTAGGGACCAGTGGGAGGAACAGTGCCTGTGTTAGGAAGGACGTTCATGCCAGGCTGGGGAATTTGGACTCAGTCGTGTAGTAAGCAGGAGCCACTGCTGGCTTCTGAGCAGGTTTGCAAAGTTTGTGAACCTGGAGATGTGTCCTCCCAGCAGGCTAACAATGTATCATATTATTACAATAATATAACACAGATGTGAGATGGTGTGGTGGAGGTGGACATGGGCCAGGAAGGGGCCTCCTGAGCCATCTGATGACGTTGAAGGGATACAGTGTGCTGGGGTTGGGATGGAGGTTGGGGCTAGTGTTTGAGCCAGAGTTTGGGGCCCTGGGATTTGAACTGGGATTGAGTAGGTTGCATTTGGGTCTGCATGGGAGCTGGAGTTCTGAACTCGAGTTTTCTGCCCACCCCACCCCGCTTCCCTCCCCGCTTGTAGACGCATCCACATCACCAAGGCCACACTCAACTACCTGAACGGCGACTACGAGGTGGAGCCAGGCTGCGGGGGCGAGCGCAACGCCTACCTCAAGGAGCACAGTATCGAGACCTTCCTCATCCTGCGCTGCACCCAGAAGCGGGTCCGGGGGCCAGGGGCCGGGGGTGGTGCTCAAAGGCTTCATTCTTTGGGGGAAGAACATTTTCTTGGACTGCTGCTTCCTTCTTTTACTCTTTCCTTGAGTTGAGTTGTGAATTCCTTATGCAGTCGTGGTTCCTGCATCTCAAGAAGGACACAAGAATTCTGGAGGCCTTGCAAAGGCTGATGGCAAAGGGAATGTTTTCATTTTGCTTCTGTTGCAAAAATGCAACAGGCCTCAAATCAGTTAACAGCAATACATCAGAAGGCCACAATATGGCAGTGAAGCATCAAGGATATCTGTGTATACCACGTATTTTATCTCCATCTCGTTCCTTTTCTGTTGCCTCAACTAGGTGGATATTTGTCTTCCTCTCTCTCTCTCTCTCTTTCAGTGTCTGTCTCTGCCTGTACCCGTATATCTCTTCTTTCTTGAACCTCTGTTTTTTCCCCTCTTTTACTGTCTAGTCTCTTCCTTCTTTCTCATTTTGTCTCAGCCCACATTTGCCAAAATACAAAACTGAATTATTAGCAGACTTCAGTGTTCTATTTTTAATAGAGCCATGTTCCATGTTCTTAATTTTTAAAGCAGATGAAGAGAACATTTTCTATTTCTCCCTAGATTAAAATGCCTTTTACTTATGAATCTTTCAACGGAATTTATCTGTTGGTCAGACCCCATTGAGAGAGAAAAGCTTCCCCTTTTCTTTCCTAAGAAGTTAGACTAAAGATAAAATTAAACTGTCAGAACTAAGTTCAGAGGATGTCTTGGGAGAGAGGAAATGGAGATTTTTAAAGGGAGGCAGGGGTCTCTCGGGCAGGTGTCCACCCTGAGAGGCACATCGGGGGGCGCCATGTCCCGCCACAGCGGCACACCCCAGAAGACTGGTTCTGGCTGCAGGGCCCCCCACAGACACCAGGACGGGGCACGGAAGAATTTAGGGCACTTTGGGGAGAGCTCCTAGTGGCTTAATTGACACATTTTTTTTTTTTTTTTTTTGTGAGGAAGATCAGCCCTGAGCTAACATCCGTGCTAATCCTCCTCTTTTTGCTGAGGAAGACTGGCTCTGAGCTAACATCTATTGCCAATCTTCCTCCTTTTTTTCCCCCAAATCCCCATTATATATTTTTATTTCATATCTGTACATCCTTCTAGTTGCTGCCATGTGGGACGCAGCCTCAGCATGGCCAGAGAAGCGGTGCGTTGGTGCGCGCCCAGGCTCCGAACCTGGGCCACCAGTAGCGGAGTGCGTGCACTTAGCTGCTAAGCCACGGGGCCAGCCCTAATTGACACATTTTTAAACATTTGCTTGTTGTTTGGCCAGAGTATAAATGGACTGGGATCCTCCCAGGCCCTCCTGCCACATCCCTCCCCTCTCCTGGGTTCACGAGTCTCCAGCCCCGCTTCCAGCCCTACCCAGGCTGAAGGCTCCCCCTCTACCCTGGGTTCTCTGAGTCTGGCTCTTCCAGCTTGACAAGTGGTCCAGAAAGGATGAAATGGAGATGGACAGACAGAGTGACCCCCACCCCCCAGAGCAGTGTCAGCTGAAGCAGGCTGTGTCCCCTCCCCTCTGCATCCCTGATCTGACAGCTTCCTTCCCAGGCTCAGGGAGGGCTTTGGGGGGAAGACCACCTCAGGTCTTCCCTGGGCCTCTCCAACCCTCCACTTCTTGTGCCCATTTGGATGGACAGACAGACAGACAGACAGAGATCCTAGCTGGCACATAGGTAGCTGGCTAAAGCCCGTTTGTGTATTGGTACGATGCATGTCAACCCTTGAATCTCATAACTTGAATGACCCAAGCCTCCGGAAGCTGCCTTCTGGGCAGCAGAACCTGTCCTACTGCCCACTCTGCTGGCACAAGCCTATTGTGGATAAGTTGAGTAGAGTTTGGAATCCCAGGTTCCGCTCCCTCTGTCACCCCTGGGCACCTGCAGACCCAGGCTCTCCCCACCCCTGAGAATTCCATGCAAACCAAAGATGTTCATGCCCCTTTGCTTTCTCACAAGACCAACTTCATCATCTTGTTCTGCTCTTCCCAGCTGGGCCAGCCAGGGCTGGTGGGAGGGAGTCTGGAGGGATTTAGGGTCTGTGCCCAGGTGAGCTCTAGGATCTTGGCAGACCCCTGGGCTCCCGGCTGGGCAGAGAAGAGAGGGGCAGCTGCCCAAACCCTTCCCTGGCCTGGCAGCTGGAAGGAATGAGGAACTCCTCACCAGGGTTCCTCTGGGGGGCCCTGCCCAACACAAGCATCTGTGTTGCTTTTCCAGAAAGAAGAGAAGGCCATGATCGCCAAGATGAATCGCCAGAGAACCAACTCTATCGGGCACAACCCGCCACACTGGGGGGCCGAGCGCCCCTTCTATAACCACCTGGGCGGCAACCAGGTGTCCAAGGAGATGAAGCGGATGGTGAGTGGCTGGCAGGGCAGTGCGCGGGCAGGGCCTTTCATGGGTGTGAGGGCTGGGCCAGGCTCCTCGTGTGCCCGAGGGAATTTGGAGAGCCACAGAAGGAAGCATTAGAAGGGGGGCTGATCCCAACTTTGGACTAGGAGCCGGAGCACCTGACTGCTGGCCCCGGCTCTCTCCGTGAGCCTCACTGTCCCTTGGCATGCCCAGTTTAGCTTTGGAACAGAGCGGCAACACCCATTCTTCCCTCCCTCTTGGCAGAGCTTGCTGGCACAGGCTGGAAGCAGGCCTATCTGGATGGACTCAGGGTCCAGCCAAAGGCTCCAGTGGTCTCTCGGCACTGTCTGGGGAGGCCCTGGGGAGTTGAGTGGGCACCAGCTTGTCAGATGCTCTTCTCGTACCTGCTGCATTTCCCGGGCAGTTGGAACACATCCTTTGGCTCAATGGCTCAGAAACCATCCCAGTGTGTTTTGGCAAGTGCCAGGTGGTGGTCCCCTTGGCCCTCTGTGCTGAGAAACACCCCTGCTGACTGCTGCCTTCCAGTTGGAGCATGCAGGCTGAGTGAGCAGAGACCATGGTAGGGGTTCAGCCTCCATCTCCAGGCACCCTGCCTGCTCTGGGGACAAACAACCCTAGCCATCGCTGCACACCCCAGGGATGGGCTAATTCAGGATGTGCTGCCCGGGCTCTATCAGCGATGATGGGAAGAAGAATTCAGAGGGTGGGAGGAAGAGGAAGAGGGATAACAAGAAGTCAGCTTACTGCAGCAGCGTTCTCTTCCTTTTTACCCGGGAGCTTAGCTCCTGTGTCCGGGCACACTCCTCAGCTCAAGGGCAGCCTGGTTCCAGGTGGGAGCCGCCCACCCTGGAGGAGGGATGGGTGAGGAGGGAGGGTGCAGGGAGTAGTACGTGTGTGGCCACTTAGTTCGCACAGAGCCAGGACAGAGAAATAAGGTGGCGCATGCGGCCCTAAGATCCCTGAGTTGGGGGTCTGCAGATTAGACTGAGTTTAAGCTGGAGCAGCAGGGATTAGAGATAGACTCCACAGGAATCCAGCAGAGTCAGCAGACAGAGCCAGGGGTCTGAGGGAGGGGACAGGCTGGGGACCCAGTCACTCTGCTTCTTGCTAGCTAGCAAGTAGCAGATGACAAAGGTTTAGGGAAAATGTACAGGAGGAAAAATGAATTGTCAAGACCTCCATTTTAACTTTTGACGGTAAAGAAGCAACTTGCGGGGACACCAGCGTCTTTGAACTTGGACGTCCACAGAGCTGCTCAGTGCCGCTCAGGGTTCCAGCCACCACTCTCTCTCCCTCGAGGGCCCTCCCCAAAGCAAAGAGCAGTTGGTGGACCCCCGTGTTCTCACCCAGCCCTTTAATAATCTCCCGCTGACTCTGTACCCAGGTGAGCAGGATGGTCAAGAGATGAGAGGCAGTGGAAGGAGAGGGGGAGCCTGAGAGCAGGATATGAAGAGGAGGGAGGCTCTCATTCAGGCAGGGGAGCGAGGAGCGGGGAGCGGGGGGGTCAGGAGAGGACAGTAGGGTAAGCGGGACATGCAGAGGGAGCTGGAGACACGAGAATGGGGCAGGAAAGGTGGGGCAGGCAGGAGATGGAGAGGAAGCAGAGCCACCAGCGGGCAGGAAAGGTGTCTGGTGGCACATTGCTTTCTCCTTTAAATCTTTGGAAAGTTTTTTTCTTTAGTGATACTTGGTATAAGCCGAATCTTTCATTATTTCCGAGCCTCAAAAGAGGGAGTGTGGACCATAAGCACCAGTTTGGCAGACACATTAATCATCGTTAGGGCACGGAGCCGTGGAAGAATTAGCAGAGGGGCTATAAATGGGGAAAGGACAGTCTTGGGGGACCTGCTGCTGGAAAGCCTCCTCGTGGTGTTAATTGCCTTGCCCAGCGGCAGTGGGTGGGAAAGGAAGGGTGTGTGGAACAGCAGCATCAAGGACGCCTCTGCAGCAGCTGTGGGGGAAGGGGCTCCCCATCCCCCATCCTGGCTGGGCAGAGTCAAGGTACCAACTCCTGCCCCCCACAGCCCGCCCAGTCAGAGAGTCTAGGCTGGGGATGGGACAGGTTCCAGCAGCCGCCAGGCACACCATTGGCTTTTGGTGTTAAAGTTGCTTGAAATCTTTGAGAAAGATGCAGAAGGAGAGCTTCTGCCCTGACTTCCCCTGAAGATGGAGTGGGAATTAGATGCAGCAGTGACTGAGAGCAGTTAGAAAGGTACTAACTTGTAGTCAGAGGTTTATGTCTTTAAATCTTGTTCCAGCTTTTAAAATGTCATGACCCGCTGTGCTGGTTTATGTTTAGGCCCGAGTGTTGTAAGGTCTCTAAGGTTATTTATTGATCAGAAGGTTGGCAGGGTGAGTGTGTGTGGACTTCTGCTCATCTAACCAGCCCAGGGAAGCTCTGCGTTCTCCGGGGTGGCAGGCTGGGCCCGAGTGCCGGGGAAGACGAGCAGCTTTGCCAGGGCGGGCACGCAAACCGGAGGCTACGTCTCAGTGTGGATGAGCTGAGGGGCCACGGCCTCTGCTCTTGCTTTAGATCCGAGGGAGAGGAATTGGGAACCATCAGAACCCCTGAGCTGAGCTGCTCCCCAGATGTGCCGAGGCACAAACCACAGGAGCCCGTCTGAGGGTCCTCCTAGCCGGGCTGAGGACCGTTGTCCTCAACTTGAACCCAGTCTGCTGGACTGTGTTCTTAATGACCCTCTGCCATGGTCTGTCACCCCCCCAGTCTGATGCTGAGCTCTGCACACCATCACGGCACCCATGTGCTTAGAGTGGACCCCACCCCCGACACCAGTCCCAGCAGAGGAGCACTGGAGAAAGTCAGAAACAGATTCATTACGACCATTTCAGGCATAGTTTTGAGCTGTAGAGACCAGCATACGCATCACACAGCTCGGTTGTTCTCAGTCCCAGAGTAAAGTCGTTGCCGGCCCCTGTGATGGAGTTCAGCGGGCCAGTGCCTCGCCATATTCCGTAGAGACCTGGCCTGTCCACGCTCTGCTGCCCATTCAAGCTTGTGCTCTGAGGGACCCCGGGAGCATCTGGCATGGGCCTGCCCCTAGACAGAGCACTCGCTTGAGTGACACCAACTCCTCCAGCCTGGGGCCGGGATGGGGAAGTGGGCTGGGTCTTGCAGCCTGGACAGAGGGCCTGGCGATTCTCAGAGAACAATGAGAAGGGTCTGGCTTGCCCGGGCAGACAACTGTCAGGCAGCCTGGGAGGAGCTCAGAGCCCACAGCTGGGCGCTTGGATGTGCCACTAGAGGCTGCCCAGGCCCCTGGGCGCCCTCAGCTGGGGGTAGAATGGAGAGAGAGCACCCCGTATCTGTTCTAGCGCCCGGTAGCTCCGGCTCATGGAGACTAACAAAAATCCCATTTTCTGTATTTCCAACCATGTCCTCAGCGGGACTGAAAAGAAGTGTGTTCATTTGGGGTTTGGGTTTACCCAGCATTGGCCCACCTCACTTTTGCCCAGCAGTGTGCTCCCCACTGAGCCAGAGACGAGAGGTCATCCTCTGTCCTTATCCTGGCAAGCTGAGCCTTACCTGAGACTGCCTGTCCCTCTTGTCACCTGCACCACTGCCTCCCAGATTCCGCCCCCATCCCATATTAAGGAACCCTTTCTCCATTCTGCCACAACAGGCCAGACCCTGACACGCATCTGTCCCTCTGTGGACTTGCTAGATTAACTCTAATTAGGGCTTTGAGTTTGGCCACCAGTAAGGGACCTTCCCACCCCCACCCCTGTCTGTGTGAACATCAGAACAGTAGTCAGCCCGGGGCAGGCGGGTTCCTCGCCTCCTGGGTCCCCAGCCGACTCTGGCTTATGAGAACATTGGCTCTCAGATACCAGGAAGGCTGTTGCAGGTAACAGGAGTTTAATTTTCTTAAGCTCAAAACTTGTGAACTCCCAGGAGATTTTATGTGTGCTCAGTAGGGGTGCGGGGTGAGTGTGCATGAGTGTGTGTGTGTGTACATGGGTGTGTGCACGTGTGGAGATTAATCAGCTTAGCGGTTTGTCTTATTTCTGTCTAAGTGACAGAACTGGGAGGGGACCACCAAGCCCAAGGTCCAGGAGGAGGGGGAGGAGAGGTTTGGGGGATATGACAAGGAATGGGGTGTGGGGACAGGAAGAGCTTAGACACGTGGACTTGCCAGTGGCTGAACTGACGTCACAGTGCGTCGCAGTGTGCCCCCAGCGTCTAGCACAGAGCCTGACCCATAGGAAGAACCCAGCTGTGTTCGCCGAAGGAAGAAAGGAAAGAACTACTGAACTACAGTCCTCTCTGTGTCCAAGCTCCTTGGGGAACTCTAGAGAGAAAAGGAGCTGCAGCCTTCTGGCAGCCCCATTTCTGGAAGATTCCATTTTCAGTCTTCTCTGTTCTCACTCCTCTCCTCTCCCTATCCCTCTCTTTTAGGGCTTTGAAGACCCCAAGGACAAGTGAGTAATGTGCCCTTGGCCTGGAGGTATCTCTGAATCTGCCTTATATCTGGCTTCCCGATGCCCCCCGGAGAATGAGCCCACAGTCTTGGCTGAGGGTGCATGGAGCCCACTGCCCCTGACAGACGAGCAGCCAGGGAGAGAGGGCCTCAGCACTGCCCGCTTATAATCTCCACTCCACGCACACACACACGTGCCCACATACGTGTGCACACACAACTAAACACATGCATGTGCGCATACGCACAAACGCTCATGCAGCTCTCCGGAAAATGCAGACCTTGCCCATTGGTGGCCAGCGCCCGGCCACATCCCAGTGCCCTGCGGGAAGTGAGTGTCCTCCTTCTCCTCCTCTTCCCAGTTCTCAGGGACACCAGAAATCCCACTCAGGGACTGGGCTTCCTCCTTGAGAAATCGAGGTTTTAGTTCAGAATCCAAAAGTCATGAAACCTGCTTCACAGAGTGCCCCCAGGCAGGTTAAAGCAGCCAGTGCCCACAGTCCCCGTGGTAGAGGTCTCGTCCCAGCCACCCTCCATCTCGGCCTTCGTTTCAGGATGATGGGACAACTGGAGAATGAAGAGCAGGGCCTGCGGCCTGTAGGGGAGGAAACAAGCCTTTGATAATAATTCACAATATTTTTATAATATGATAACATATCAATAGAGTCAGAAAAGCCTTATTGTCAGTGAGGCCCTCCGGCCAGCGGGTATGAAACTTGGGGAGTTTTCTACGCATATGTGTGGTCGTTAAGACGGGGGGACTTGGGCTTCTGGCCGCCCTGCTCTCACTCCCGGCTTCCCCACCCCTCATTAGGGCTGATCTCTGGCGGCTGCGGGCCTCTCTGATGGGTCTGCGCGCACGGGCAGAGCCGGCCCAGCGGCGCCCCCTGGTGGTCAGCCTGTCTTGTGTCTGCGCCCCCTGCTCCCCAGGAACGCCCAGGAAAGTGCAAACCCCGAGGATGAAGTGGACGAATTTCTGGGCCGCGCCATTGACGCCAGGAGCATCGACAGGCTGCGATCTGAGCATGTCCGCAAGTTCCTCTTGACCTTCAGGGAGCCTGACTTAGAGAAGAAGGTACAGCACCGCGGGTGGGAAGGAGGCGCGACCAGGACCGGGCGGAGGGGGCAAGGCCACGGGTCGGCTCCCGCCCCGTCTCCTTTACCGTGGAAAGAGCCCCTGCCTGTCACCTCACTTCCCCCAGCTCTGATGCTGCGCTGCCCAGGAGATGGGGTTTTTAGGGAGACTTCCTGGCTGGAAGGGATAAATCTTAACCTCCATGTGTCTCAGTTTCCTTATCTGGAGAATGGGGATATTTGACATACCCACGTCACAGAGTCATAGTGAGGATTAAACAGATCCATGTGTGTAAAACAGTGTCTGCCACAGAGATGTTCAGTGGATGTTTGTTGCTGTTTCTATTATTTTTGTTATTATTACTATTATTATTATCGTTATCCTTACCAAAGGATCACCCGGCTGCCTTTGGCACACTGGAACCTCAGAGTATTAAAGCTGGACGGGGCAGCCGAGATCTCTGTCCCACCTCTTTAAATCGTGACTGAGAAAGCTAAAATGCAGAGCAGTTGGCAACTTGGTCCAGGCCTCCCAGTGAAGTAGTGACAGAGCCGGAACCAGACCGTGGTCCAGGGTCTTTGCTCCGTGTCACAGGGTCTCCCTGGTGTTCATTAAAATGAGTTCATATGAATTCATGTCACGTCAGGTGAGGCAGACCCAGTTAGGAGGGAAAACTATGGGCGGGGAACTTACTCTGCTGACCAGTGATAGATAGAACTGACTTATAGAGGCCTTTCCCTCTAAGGGTGACTCTGTGCCCACTCGGCCTCTGTTTCTGCAGCTGGTTGGTGTCGTGGGGAGCTGGGGCTGGGAGTCGAGATCTCAGAGCTGAGCTCTGTGATTTTGGACCAGTCACCTGACCTCTGAGCCCCAGCTTGCTCATCTCTGAAGTAGAAACAATAGCAGACCTGTGCCTACTTCCTGGGGCTCTTGTGAGGACGTGAGGCGATGCGTGTAGACCCCGGCACGTGTCCTAGCATGTGGTTGGTGCTCAGTAATTTGATCATTTTGAATTACTCTCACGGTGACCCGGCCTGCAGAAAGTTTCTGCTTTGACACAATTCAGCTGCCCTCCCCACAGGCACCACCTGTGGTGAACTGGACTGGTTTCCTGAGAGCTAAGGCTCACGCTGGTTCTCGGGTCTTCCAGGTCTTGGGAGTGGGCTGCCCCAGGTGTGTCTGGGTGGAGCTGGGCTGGGGCAGACAGGGCTGTGCCTCTGCCCCCTCACCCTGCCCTGTCCTCTCAGTACTCCAAGCAGGTGGATGACCGATTCGGTGCCTACGTGGCCTGTGCCTCGCTCGTCTTCCTCTTCATCTGCTTTGTCCAGGTCACCATCGTGCCCCAGTGAGTACCCCAGTCCTCCCATGCTCCCTCCTCCAGCTGCAAGGGCTCCAGGGGTGGGAGGGAGGTCACCTAGGAGAGCAGAGGCGGGAGTCTGGGCTGAACTTGCTTGGGCCGGGAGAGAAGTTTCTAGATGTGTCCTCGGTGGGACCGGGAAGCCAGGAGTCTGACTCCTCCGTGACCGGGAGGTGACGTGCTCACTCCAGGGAGGAAATCTTCTCTCTGGACACTGCCCGGCTGCGCGAGAGACTGCTTCTCACCACTGTATCATCTCATCCATTTCAACAGCACCATCACCCAAAGTCTTCACTAGGCTTGTTTCTGCGTGACCTTGGGTTCTTGCTGAAAAATCAATACATCTTCAAAAGATAAAAGTTTTCCACTACTCTGGGTATTACAAAGGATGGATTTTAGGTTCTGAAGGCTTTTCTCAAAGAGATGCTCCTGAACTCTTCTGAGAACTGGCCATGTCCCTGAGAGAGGCCTGTGGCTTCCAAGGGGACCACTCTGAAGTGGGCAGTGGGCTCTGGGAAATGAAGTGTTCGTTAGATAGTTAGTCACGCCTAGGAGAGAAAGATAACTGCTCCAAACGTGTGTGTGTGTGTGTGTGTGTGTACGTACATATGTGCATGTACATATATATATATATACATATTTTTTATTTTTTATGATGTACTATTTTAAACATACAGAAAAGTAGTTATCAATACCCATTCCCTAGATATAACAGTTGTTTATATTCTGTGATTTTTGTTTTATCTATTTTTTTTCTGATTTTTAAAGTAAAATTTTATGGGGCCAGCCTGGTGGTGTAGCAGTTAAGTTTGCATGCTCTACTTCAGCGGCCCGGGGTTCACAGGTTCAGATCCCGGGTGCGGACCTACACACTGCTTGTCAAGCCATGCTGTGGCAGTGTCCTACCTATAAAGTAGAGGAAGATGGGCACGGATGTTAGCCCAGGGCTAATCTTTCTCAGCAAAAAGAGGAGGATTGGCAACAGATGTTAGCTCAGGGCTAATTTTCCTCAAAAAATAAATAAATAAATTTTAAAAAATAAAGTAAATTTTAGACACAAGGACATTTTGCCCCTAAAATGTCACTATACGCCTATTTGAAAGGTATTTTCCTTCTTAACCACAGTGCTTTACACACCAAACAAAATTAACACCAGTTCTCTATAGTCATCTCATACCAAGTCCATGTTCAAATTTCCAAAATTGTCCCCCAGATGTCTTCTACTCTTAGTTTTATTCACAGCCAGGATCTATTCAAGATCCACTAGCTGCGTTTGTCACATCTCATAAGTCTAACTTAATCTAGAAGAGTCCCCTCACCCCAGTACCTTCTACTTTTCATTTTGAAATAACTTGTCTTACAGAAAGTTATGAAAGTACAACAGAGTTTCTGTACATCCTTCATCCCATTTTCCCTAATGTTGACAACCCACATAACTGCAGTACTATCGTCAAAACCAGGAGAGTAACACTGGAATGATACTACTCACTGCAGACCATAGTCTCACTTCATCAGTGTTCCCCCGATGGCCTTTCTGTGTTCCAGGAGCTGGCCCAGGATCCCACATTGTATCCCCTCAGTCCTGTCTAGTCTGTGACGCCTCCTCAGCGTTTGCTTGACTTTCATGGCCTCGGCACTTTTGATGAGTACTGGCCAGTTAAGTTGTAGAATGTCTCAGTTTGGGTTGGTCTGATGTTTTCTCGTGATTAGATTGAGGTTATGCATTTTTGACAAGAATCCCACAGAAGTGATGTTGTGTCCTTCTCAGTACATCATATCAGGAGGCACATGATGTCGACGTGTCTTATTACGCAATGCCTTTTATTTTCAATGGCACTTACTGTTGAAGAGATGGCCCTTGTGTTTGTGTCTGCTGTGACTCTGTCAGGATCCCACAGGTGAACGCCAGACCCTGGCGGCCAGCTGCACCCTGGTCATGCAGCTAATGCCCATCGCCCCCTGCACTGAGGCTGTGCAGAGCTGGTGGGGTTGGGGGTCCTTATTGGCATAGGACCCCATTTTTCTGTACTGAAATGGAGCTACAGGTACAAACAAGCAACTTAGACTTCTGTCCCATTGCAAGTGATAGTCAGTCCCCTTCACTTGGGTGAGTCACGCCGCCTTTTTGGCACGTTCCTTTTTCTGCAGCCTGGCCTGGGGGCTGGTTATACCACTTCCCTTCTCTGCCTGTGGCGGGTTCAGGTCGTTCCCTCCTCTGGCCACAGCCCTGAGTTGCTAAGGCACTGAAGGAGGTCATTCTTTGGCTACCCTCTCCTAGGGAACCATTAAAAGCTACTTAAAAGGTCTTTCTTTCTCTCTGAAGAGAGTTCTCTCCCCTTGTTCTGTTTGTTTAAGGCAGCTGAGTGCTGGCTTCTGGGGGAGCCTGGAACAAAGTCGCTGTCTGAACGCCTCCCCAGAGGTGTTCACCTGCCTTCTCAAGGCCTCCACTGGCCTTTAGCCTGCTAACAACGCCTGGCATCTCCAGGCCACTCTGACTCCCTGAAAGGGAGGGTTCCTGTGGTCCCCTGTGAGATGGCGGGGCATGCTGTACCTCCGCCTCCCCTGCCCCGGGAGGGCCAGTGGGAGGTTCCGGATGGAAAGTGACTTGCAGCTCTTCTGTCCGAGGATTCCGGCCCGCAGTGAATGTTAAGGTCACCTGTGATCTTCCCCTGAAAGGAGGGGCAGGAGGAGACCCTTGTGTTTTTGTTGTTGCTGTTGAACTGGTAGGATAGGAGAGCATAGACTGAGTAGGACTTGTGGTGGGGCCTGGCAGTAGGGAGGGGACAGGGATTAGGGACTGTGCCTTCCGAAGGGACACATCACTGCTGTTTCTCAGAGTGGCTGGTTGGGCTCCTGTCAAATGCATTTCTAGAAATGATGGCCATTTAGCCAATCAATTTTCAGCCTTCGTAGTTACTTTTCAAACCATGAGTGACTACATGGGGGGAATAACCAGGTAATTTTTAAAGTGAGTCCTTCCAGGCTAAATGAAGCAAGTCTATGGTTAGCTAAGAATTAGGCAGAATGTTAGACAGATGTCGCCTGGCTCTCCATTCAGCTCCCCTGTGGGCTGCTGCTACCCCCAGGAAAGTACAGGAAGGTGGGAAGGCCAGGGGCCAGACTGGTATGGAGGAGGGTCCTGAATCGGTTCGCAAGGCCGCGAGAGCCCTTCTCAGTGAGTCAGGGCTAGAACAGCCTGGGCAGTGGGTGCAGGGGAAATGCAGCAACTTCTGCTTACTTTGCAGGGGCTCTCGGAGCCCCAGGACTGCCCCCCCTCCTCTCTCCTTCCAGCTCCGTGTTCATGGTGAGTTTCTACCTGACCTGTTTCCTGCTGCTGGCCTTGGTGGTGTTTGTGTCCATGATCTACTCCTGCGTAAGGGTGAGTCCCCCTTACACTTGAGGCCCCACTCACCTTCTTCCCTCCTTTCCTGCCCTCTGATGGGGCCCCTCCCAGGAGCCCAAGAGTCATACCTGGGATGGAGGGTGCATGAAGCTGGGTCACAACTCATGATTGGCACTGACAGCAAGCTAGACTGTCAGGGGTAGTTTGTCCGCGGAGCTTGTTTGTATAGCTGTTTTAATTAGCCTTTGCAAATCTTTGCAACAAGAAGATACTGTTGCTGCCTCTTCTGTCTGTCCCCTTGGTATCAGGTGGGATGAAGGAAGGGCACCTAGCACAATGCCTGGTACAGAGCAGTGGTCAGTAAACACTTGCTGAAAGAGTGAGAGTGGAAGCCTTGACAACCCCTTCCGGGTTCCCTTGTGCCCTGGAGTTGACCCCAGAGGGGACCGTAAAGATGACGGCTTTTGAGCTGCCCATCATATAGATGAGGGGGGAGGCCCAGAGCAGTCCAGTGTTGCAGTCAGGGCCACACAGCTAGTAATGTGGGCATGAGACCCTGCTCTGTGTTCTTCTCCTGCACCTCCTCTCAGGCATGCTGTCCCCCGTCCAGGCTGTGTCCTCTGAGGGGATCAGACCACAGGCCATTCTGGTCTGTTGTAGAGATCACTCAGGTTCCCATTTGCCTTGTCCACCAAGCCTTGCCCTCGTTTCCTTCCCTAGTGGCTTAAGATTTCCCTGACAGGGCCAGCCTGCTCCCAGCACACATTCTGTCCCTAGCGGGAATAGGCCTTCTCCAGCTTCTGCTGTTGCCATTTCTCTGCTCCTCCCTGACACTCACTTGGAGCCAAGCCCCTGGGGGGCCAGACCCTGCCATCACTCCTTACACACTCTGCAGTGGACACCATGTTCTCCTTCCAGGGGAATTGGACCTTTGTCACTCCAAAGTCCCCTTTCTCTCACCACCATCCAAACATGGTCCTTCATTAGGCTGTTAACTGTTAATTACCTGATGGTCAAGGTCTTGGGGGACTGATTGTCAGAACTGGAAGGACCTTGGGAGTCATCTGGTGTGTGCTGCAGCCCTGCCCTGAGCGGGTGCAGAAGTGGACGCCCAGAGAGGGCAGGGTGGGCCAGGGTCACATGGCAAGTTGAGCCCTGTGCTCAGCCAGTTGCTTTGCTGCATCATAGGGGTTCATCCTGGTTCCCTGCGTCTCCACCAGCCCCTTCCTCAAGGCTATGGCCTCCCTCCTGCCCTGTGTTCAGTCTTTCTTGCCTTTTGGTCTTGTTATCAAGCTCCCCAGCCTGCTTTTCCCCCAGTGGACAGTCCACTTTCTTCATCTCGTGGCTATAAAATCACACCATCTATTCACAATAGCCAAAAGGTGGAAACAACCCAAGTGTCCACCAACAGATGAATAGACAAAAGTGGTATATCTACAGCAGAATATTATTCAGCCGTAAAAGGACTGAAGTTCTGACACATGCAACAACGTGGACAAACCTTGAAATCATTATGCTAAGTAAAAGAAGCCAGACACAAAAGGACATATATTGTATGATTCCACTTATGTGCACTATCTAGAACAGGCAAATACATAGAGACGGAAAGTAGAATCAAGGGTACCAGAGGCTGAAGAAGGGGGGTGGGGAGTTATTGCTTAATGGGCACAGAGTTTCTATCTGGGATGTTGAAAGGGTTTTGGAAATAGATAGTGGTGATGGTTTCATGACATCATGCGTGTAATTAATACCACTGAATTGTACTTAAAAATGGTTAAACTGGAAAATTTTATGTTGTCTATATATTTTACCACAATAAAAAAGTCACAACCTAAAAATAAAAGCACGCCATATCTAAAAGGGCGTCTTAAACATTCGTTCACTGAACCCCAAGAAAGAATCTTTCCTTTTTTTAAGTTACAAACTGAGGTAAAGTTATTGTCTGTTTGAGACAATTAGCCTATTCAGATCAGAAGCAAAGCTCTTTGTTGTCTATAATTTTTAAACTAGAACCTAGATTTCTCCCTTTTGTGTTAGCTGCTTTGGTAAACCTGAGCTGTACTGATTTCATTTGGTTTGTGTTCCCTGATCTGCATGTGTAT